TACATTATACCAATAGGGAGTCAATAAACATGACAGGAATAAATACAGACTTACATGAACATTATCAGGATTTCCCAATTTGAATAATTTTCCTCAAAACAGACATATGAAGGTATAGGTAATGTAGAAGAAAAAAATGAAGTCTGAAATAATAAACTAGGTAAATTTGATCAGAGAGGTGTAACTGCCCCCTAGTGACAGAATATTACAATACACTCTAAAAACAGATCATAAAATTGTAAATAAGAATGCTTAAGAAAAAAAAAAAAATGCTTATAAATTTGTGTTGCTTCCAAAATTTATGATTGTCCCTTCGTACTCGTTTATCCATTCATCACTTTCCTTCATATACAATAAGGGATAAAACGAATGGTTTTACCCTTCTCTGCAGTCTCTTGGGAGGCAGCTGCCCATGCAAAGGCGTGTAATTAACAGACTGTGATAAATGCTAGGAAAGAAGTGAACAGGGTACTGTCCTGGAAAATACTGGGTTCAGGCTAACAGGAGAAACCTGCTTGGGACCCGGTGGCTGAGCAACGCCTCACTGAGGCAGTACCACAACGTGGGGCTAGACAGGGACAGGATTTTCAGATGGCGGTGGGGGGAAAATCCCAAGCAGAAAACATTGTAAAGTGCATACAAAGCCTCAAAGGTAAAAATTCTGGGTGATTTCAGCTCTTATGGGGCGAAACAATGCAGAGCCTTTTATTTTTTTATTTTATTTTTTATTTTTAATCCTCAACCGAGGATATTTTTCCATGGCTTTTTCAGAGAGAGTGGAGGGGGGGGCGGAGAGAGACACATCAATTGGTTGCCTCCCACACGCACCCAACTGGGGCTGGGGATCAAGCCTGCAACCGAGGTACGTGCCCTTGAGCAGAATCAAACCTGGGATCCTTCAGTCCGCTGGCTAACGCTCTAACCACTGAGCCAAACAGGCTAGGGCAATGAGAGCCTTTTAGGCTAGGGTAAGGAGTATGGACTTTATCCTAAGTGAAATGGGAAGTTATTCATGGTTTTTAGTCAGGGAATAAGTCTCATGTGTATTATGACAAATCACCCCAACTGCTGGGCTCAGAGCAGAAGCAGATCAGTACAGTTCCAGGTGTAGGGTGACTGGCTAGACCCAAGTAGTGACTGCAGGGATGAGAACAGGACACTCTCTGAGCAGGAGATATGCTCTGGGTTACAACTGACAGAAGCTGCTGCTGGACTGGATGTAGGGGGTGAGAGAGAAGAAAATCAC